ACTGACTGTGGCACTGCATCTCTGCCACCTACGGTGGTGTTCTCCACTAATTCACCAGTTCATATTAGTTTATTCAGTTTATATTTTTCTTTCATTGTAAATAAACCTATTAAACTTCACATCAGTTGTGCATACATAAAAGCTGCCATGATGCCAGTTGCAACTCTTTCTCCTCCTGCTCTCCTGTTATTGCTCACCCTCTTCTCTCTTGCTGTCCCTCTACAACTTAAAAAAATCTATTACCTTTGCCACTCTCCACTATTCCACTCCCTCTCTCTTTATTACTCAGTCCACCATATTCAATAAACTTTATAAAATTGTATCTGCCTCTGAGACTCCCTTTGACCCAAATGTTCTGTATTATAAAAAAAATTATGTAAAAAAAAAGGCTCAACTCTGTGTTTCATTCTAGCCTGCGTTGATCTTACATGGAAACACCGTGTAGTTGATCAGCATTCAAAATGTACTTACAGATCATCTGAATCATCAAGAAGATCAGACTTGGTGCAGATAAAATGAATTTGCTGACATTCGCCACCATTTCCAATCAGACTACTGACACTTTCCAGGATCTCCCAGGCCTCTTTCTCTGATGCTGCTCGATTAATTTCAGTCACAATCCACACAATAGAACAATCTCCAACTATCTGCAAGGAGAATAACATGTCTCAGTGCTTCATTGAAAGATGACTGTTTACAGACAACACAGTATAAGCACAGAGCAGTAGATGTGAATTACCCCTTTCCACATCTGATCTCTGCTCTTGTTACAGTCACCATTTCCAGGAAGGTCCACAAGTGTGACATGCTGGAGAAAAGGATTGTTTGGCACCCTGACAGTCACACACTTCACAAGTGGCCAAAACCACTTTTTTCCTTCATTACCTTCTCCTTGTTTTGAATCACTTCTTGTGTACTTGACAAATTGTGCAGAAAGTTCATTAGCCTGCAATAAATAATGAAAGTAAAGCAGTGCAGTTTAATTTCAGTCCTCACAGAAAGTGCTTTACAAAAACCATTAAAAAGTCAGTGACATAAAAAAAGTTAAGTAATTAGTGTTTAGTGTTTTTGATTTAAATGATCAGATTGTGTCATGTACAAGCTTCCCCTTGTGTTATATTGGACCAAGAAAAACATCAAATCCAAAATGAAAATAATTTTTATGATTTATTTAATTTTTATTCTCTATTTAAATCATGCTATGAACACTCTTGTTCTCAACAGCCAGTATTACTATTAGCAGAAACTACTTCATGTCGGCATTTTGCACAGTTGTCCACTTTAACTGACTGTCAGACACTGATTTACTTTGTGGTCACTTTGATTCAGTCTTTGCTGACTTTGCTCAGCAGTGAATTTTTACAGAGCAATTTAAAGTGTAAGAGTAGGTTAAAATAGGGAACTGATCACTGTTGTGTAAAGACGTAAAGGTTCTTACTGCAATTTAAAAAAATAAAAATCATGCTCTACATCGCGGACCTGGACCAGTCTTGGGTCTTGTTAACCACATTTATTACAAGAACAGATTTATTTTTTCAGATATGTGATCATCTAAAGATCATTGTGGGATCTCAGTAAGATCTGTTT